CATGTGTTGGTACAAAATTTCACCTTCGAGTGTCAATATTTTTGTATTTCAAGTACTTTACCGCACATGTGCTGTAAAGTGCTACCTTCCACATACTCATAGATAAAAAAATTTCACGCCAGTATTTTGGTAAACAAATTACTTGCAAACGAGCTTTTTATATTTTTCGACAGGAAAAATTAGAAGCACGAGTGGTTTTTGTTAAGAATGTTTCCTTACTGAGCAAAACAATAAATTTTTATTAATTTATTAACATTTATGAGTATTTTATTTTGTTTTCATGTCATGTCATGAAATTTTTCCACTTGAAAATAATTTTTGACCACAAAATGAGATTTATTGATTGGTTTAAAATGACAGGAGGGAGATATTCGATTAAAATAGTTATTTGCAAATAACTTGAAAACGAAAGCAGATATCGGATTGCGGTTTGCGCCAAAATGTAGATAATTTTTTGCTCTTTAAGCAGAGTTATAAAAAAATATATCATGCCATTTGGATTTTTCCAGAAAATTAAAAAAAACTGGATCTTGGTTAAATAGCGCCCTCTAGAAGACGCGGTGGGAACTATCGACCCCGAACGAAGTGGTGCTTTTAATAACAATGAAATTCTCTTTCGAATAAGCCCGAATTGAATGAGTTTGTATAAGGGGTATGGAAGATACAGCAATTTTTAAAACTATTTTTTCCCCAGCTTCCCCCACCCTTATTAGTGAAGATACGAAAAAAGGCTAAGAAGCAAACTGGCGCAAAAATTAACGAACTTTTGATTTCTGTTGTTAAAACAGTACCTTGATATAGCGATTTTTCGAGAAAATTTGAATTTTTAGTTATATCATCGTGATTGCGCCCCCTAGCGGCTATCTTAGAAACTTGAAAATCAATTTCTCTTGACCGATTTAGTGATGAAGAAAAAAATCCCGATGCCGTAAGGTCTATGGTTTCCATAATAACGTACCTCTTCGACCTTAGTGGGACACCCTGTTTATACCTACCATACAAAAATAATTGGTCACCAACTCAATCCATCGCATTTGAAATTTCTTCACTGAAATGACATCCGCAAATGAGCCGTTTGGGCTGTAGAGCAAGTCACATGAAGAACACTTATACTCCGAATGAAATACAATATTTCATTTTCAAACAATCTTTATTCCGAATAGTGCAGCATTTTTAAAAGAAATAATGACATTCATATTTAGAAGGATCACCTTTATAAGCACCTATACCTGTATCTACAGGTAAACTACCCTAAATCGCTATGGAAAAACATGTTAACGGCGTATATATGCCTTTCAGATATTATTGGCGTAGCATCATTCTTGGAAATTTGACAGGTTGACCCTCGTATAATAATGACATTTGATGACAAAATATTTTCTATATCCTACTGAACTATTATAACCATATAATATCTTGGTTACGATAATCATAGACAGGGTCTTAACTCCCGCGCGGGAGTTAAGGATATCATAACTCCCAGGGGAGTTAAGGATTTCCATAGCTCCCGCTTTTACCTTGAATAGGTAAAATTTTGAGAAAAAATGGAAATTTTGATATATGGTTTATTCTTTTATAGAAATAGACAGAATACAGTAAATTCAGTAGGATATAAAATTATCTATGTACCACGGGAATTGTCAGGTGTTAATACCCACGGGCAATTGGTGTCCCTCTGGGGTATTAACACCCTCATAATTCCCTTGATACATAAATAACTATTAAATTTCAGTGTTATGAAACAGAAAGCCGAGTTGCCAGAATCTGTAAAATATCTTGGAAGATTCAATTCCAAAATATTTTTCCAAATTAATTTTAAAAAAATTAAGATTATTTAATTTATTTGAAATAAAATAAATCGAACGTACCATAACAGTAAGCTTAACAGCATAAATATGTTTTCGCAGTAACCTTTTTTTTGACTTTAGTCGAGTTTAGTCCAACAAAGATATTGGTTGCTGGATGTAAGAAATGGCTTTACATCTACATTTAAACTTTACCTACCCCAAATATATCTGGTAGTTGGACTTCAATTATTATTCCCTGAAAAACCTCTGGTTTGTTTTTCTTGAAATAGCCATTACATTTTATTATTTTTTCTTGTAAAATTATTTTGGGCATCTTAAATATGAAATAAATTTGACAATGCGGAATTTTATAAGTCATTAGATTTTGCAGGTACGCAAAATAGTTAGGTACCGTTTATAATATAGCACTATTGAAAAATGTGTCAAATTTGATTGGCCAGGTAGGCTAGAGAATTTTAACACTCACGAAATTATGTAAAACACACTTAAAACTGTCTGGAACTTGACATACACTGTCATTATTATACGAGGGTCAATCTGCCAAATTTCCAAGGTTAATGCTACGCCAATAATATCTGAAAGCCAAATAACTGTTATACTCTGGCGGAGTATAACACTTATACGCCGGCCGCTCAAGCTGAGAGTCATTGAAGTGACACGTATACCTTGTCAAAATGATCACAAAAATTAGTGTTATGACGTTCGAAAATAAAATTTATTATTTGTGATTATTTGCCGTAATTAACTTAGTTTTCTATTAATGACCCGACGGTGCAATCTTTGCATTGAAGTAAATGGTCAACATTTTGAACAATTATTGTAGGTAAACCATAATTTATTTTAATAAAGCAAAATTTATAGGTAAACAGTGATTTAATTATTGCGAAGAATAAAAGTACCAAACAGTTTTTTTGCTCTACAGCCCAAATGGCTCGTTTGCGGACATGTTTATATAAACAAAAATGCTTGTTTTGATGTCCCTTACTACTCCTTAAAGTTTGTCGGAATCTTTTTGGGACACCCTGTATACAATTTATCTCACTGTTACATTTAGTGTATAATGTACATTCAAATCAAAAATTATGCTGTTTTTCGTACAACACCTAATAAATATTTTCCATTTTATAATTATTTTGATGGACTTGATTTAAGAAAAGAAGCGCGCGAAGCGCGCTCATGACCTCTAGTATTGAAAAAAAGGTTTGGTGTTGTGACATTTTTTTAAAAAATATTTGTGTATTTCAATATCAGGGTTGAATTTTCCATCGTATGTAATTTCAAAGCCTAATTTGTGAAGAGCCTACCTACACCGAAGGTTCTGGTAGTACCTATTATTACATAAAATATTATAAATTTAGATTTGAACGTTAATAATTACTATTGGATATATTAATCTGCACTATTCATTTGGACGACTGTAAAAATTTGATTTTCGTTTCTGAATCCGTTGCTAACTTCCATGACGTAACTCGTAAAGCTACTTTTTGGATTTTGAGGTCATAATGTAGTAGGTAGGTACCTACTTGTTGCGTTCTACGATAATAGCAATATCCCTTTTTTGGAAAATAGTAGGTACCCTTTTGCATAGTCTAATTTTGGATTACCTTCAGGAATTTCCAAAACATTAAGTTTTCAAAGCAATAACAATTCGCCTTGTGATACTTAGCCCCCCACAGAATTCATTTCTAGAGCAGTTTTTTCACAAATAGCACCCTACTCTTTATCACTTGATATCTGCTTTGAAAAGTCAATATGCATATAGGTACCTCATCAGGATGTGTTTCCTATTTTTTTTTAAAATTGAACAAACTGTAGTCCCATGCCATAATATGATGCCAGCGGCTATATTTTTAATATTCCGGGATTGATTCATTTTCTATAAGATCATAAAATGAGAATTAGCCTCCAACATTTCTTCGTACTGAGTCGATTAGTCGATGCCCAAAAAGGTCAGCAAATCCAAGATTTGATTTTCTATGTTAAACTTCCATATCGTTTAATATCCCATATCCTTCATTTTCACTTGGCCAGTAGCCAGTACAGGGTGTTCCAAATTCGAGACACATCATTGGGATCTGGGAAACCGTGAGAGATACAGGGTTGGTTAAATTAGGGCAAAGTTGCGTAATTTGATGCTTAACAGAATGCCGCTTTGATATTTAGGATATTGCGAATACTTCCGGAGCTATCCGGAAAAAATCGAAATTTTGCAAAATTGTTTTTATTATTTTCTGACTTTATTTGGAGTGATATTTCAGAAAAAATATCACTTCATCATAGCCATTTTTTCTTCCCTACAAGATGCTACCATCAAATTTAAAATATGACGTTTCGTCTTTGGAACCACCATCATCAACTTTATTTTTTCAAATACGACCCTGGTTTTTTTATTTCAGCTTTAAATAGCTTCTGATGTCCCAAAACCTATGACGTATCGCATTTATTCAAAAAAAAAAATTGTCTAATTTTAGTAATAATTGCCTACCAAAATTCTCTTGTCTGTCTCTCTCTAACACATTTAGTTTTTATGGAAAGTGCCAATAATATATATTTTTCGAATAAGTGCAATACGTCATTAGTTTTGAGACATCAGAAGCTTATAAAATCCAAAATAAAAATGAAGTTGATGATGGTGGCCCAAGATGAAACGTCATATTTTAAATTTGATGCTAGCATCTTGTAGGGGAGAAAAAGTGGCTATAATAAAGTGATTTTTTTTTTCAAATATCACTTTAAATGAAGTCAAGAAAAAATAAAAACAATTTTGCAAAATTTCGTTTCTTTCCGGATGTCTCCAGAAGTATTCGGATTATCTTATAAATATCAAAGCAGCATTTTGTTAAGCATCACATTACGCAACTTTGCCCCAATTTAACCAACCCTGTATCTCTCACCGTTTCCGAGATCCCAATGATTTGGCTCGAATTTGAAACACCCTGTACAACACTTCAAATTAAGTTTCATTCGACAAAAACGGATAATAGCTAATAATCACGTTCCAACAATAATCTTCAGCGACACCTTTCATAGCAAAACTCCTGAATCCTGATAAACAATTCAATTATACTTAATTTCTCCTATAAAGTCACAAAATTATGAACATAATGACGAAGGCCAATCGATAGAAAACCGTATGGTGCTTCCATCTGGCTGTAAAGCCGAAAGCAAATAATCTATAATATAGGCGGTACCGTTGGTAGACATTTTACCTGTACGGGTAGTGGTACTCTATTCAGTTTCATTATTACGAGCAAACAAAGTGCTTAGTGTCGTGTTCAAAAGCAAGAATTTAGGTGTTTTTTCACCAGTAAATCATCAAAAGGGATAACAAATCCTAGGTAAGTACCTGTGACATCTGTCTGATATATTATAGATAAGTTTTATAGGCAATATTGGTTTTTAATAAGGTATTTAATGTCATTATACCAGTCCAGCAAGGTTGGAAGGTTATCCAAACGTCAAAATTTATTCTATGAAAATATTATCTTGCAGCATGAAAATTCACATTATTATTTTCCTATTTATTATTGATATGTTTATGAATTCAGAACTAAATATATAAATATTTAATATTTGCCACCTGACAATAATTACAGGTAGGTATGCAAAACAGAAATACAAAGCAAATAAATGTGACAGATCGTCGCATACCTACATGAACCATAATAATACTTAATTGACAAGACAAAGAAATTATGCTGAATTCTTTATTCTTCAGATATAAAACCTGCCTATCTACAGGTAGGTAGGTAAGTACCTACATACTTACAAATCCTAATCATTATCATGCATGTTGATGGCTATTGTGCAAAATTTCGAAATAAGATATTAAAAATAGTAGATTTAATTGAAAAATACAAACATATACATTAAACATTCAATTAAATATCTGCTTCTTTATCAATAAACATCAGTAAAAATACTTATTGGTAATAATAGATACTCATTGATTTTAAAATTGGTTATTGTTTGAAGGTAATTTTCCTTTTGTTCGAATTTGCTATACTTAGTCAGATTCAGACAGCGATTTTTGATTTAATTTAAGTTAATTTTATTTATTTATTCACCTGGTAACCACATTTACCATTAACCCATAATATACAAAGTTTTAAAGTTAGGTACAAATACAAACTAAGATAAAAACTAGATTTAGACATGTAAAAACAATGAACAAATTTATAAATTTGATGAATAATGATAATGATTAATAAATTCAAGCCTGATTAGGTTAATCAGCTAACTCAGTCAGGTTTTTTGGTATCCTAATCACCAATGTCATTGGTGCGTCACTAGTTTTTGCATAATTTCAAACCCAGGATTACGTTGTACAATATATTATTTTATTATTTTATTTACTCAGGTGTACACCCATCTAAAAAAAAATAGTGAAGATATCAGGCATAGTACCTAGTTGTGGTTATGATAATGAGATAGGTACAATCACAAAACATTGAACCTTCAGAAATTTGGCTATTGAGCGTGTTTTTGCGATATGATTTAAAATTATTCCTGCTCAGAATGCAATATTTACTTGATCAACAGTTTGAGGACGATGACACATTACCCCGCTAAAAAACGACTGCGACTATAAAATTAGGTATTTACTAGATATTTTCAAGGTATCTATTTTTTATATGAAAACTAATATTAATTTAAGCAAGACGCAATATGTATAATTATTATTACATACTACTAAAAATTATGGGTGTTTGGAGATAGGTATTTATTTAAAAGTAATAAAATTTAACTAGACTGAATTATATAGTGATTATTTATGACTAAAATAAAAATGCATTATCAGCAGTGAAATTTCAATATGGTACCTAAATCGTAAAAACAAGTACGTTTTTAATATTTTTGGCAGATTTTACTAAAACAAGAAAAAACTATTGTTAAATCTAATAGGTAGGTACATCATTGACATAAAAAAGATTCATTAAACATTTTGAAAGCATGAAAAGAAGAAAATTTGGATTTATGCGATTGAATTTTTGAAAAAGTCTTGATAACGTTCACCTATTTGATCACCAATTCACAACTGAAGTTGTATACCACAACTGAATGCGACCAATTTCTTAATGCAAAAAAAAAAATTTAAAAATTTGTTTGTAGGTATAGAAACTGGCCACTGGTTGATAATTAACTAATTCTCACTAGTAGATTTAAAACCTTTTTCTATGAGTGTTGAATAATATGCATAATATGTATACATCCATTTTCTATTGACCAATGTGAATGATTACTCATATACAGTGAGTTTTTTTTCATTACTCAATTGTTTTCAACCAATGAAAATATCCTGGTCTCATTACTCCACTAATTAAGAGCCAGTCAGAAAATTTGACAAGTTGACAACATACTTCAACCTTCCAATCGGTCATTTTGACAGCTGATTTAATCAAGACTTGTGCTAACCTAACCTCACTTTGTCCTCCAACTGGCAGAATTGTCAATTAATTTTCTTATGCAAATCAAATAAAAAACCGCATAACACGTGCCTATTATCTATTAATCATAGAAAAAGTATAGTATTCTACTCGCGGGTAATGGCTATTACTCACTCGGATGATAACACCACTCGCCTGCGGCTCGTAGTGCAAACTTCATCATTCGTGGTAATAGCCATCATTACGCGCTCGTTGAATAATATACTATTGCTTTGTACGCAAATGTGTGAACCTTTATTCTGCAGCTCAATACTTATTCTTCCGAAATTACCTTCAATAAAACCATAGGATGATAACAGTCAGCTTAGAATAATTGATATCAGTGTAAATTTAAGTTTGCTTTCATCGAGAGAAACTACGCGCTTTATATACAAAATAAATCACCCCAGAAATCTAGAATTTTCACAAATTCTTATTAAATTAAATCACACAATGGAATTCACATAATTCCTATAATATTTGCGCTCAGGTCGTTAACATTGGCTCCGGCGCCAATGTAATTTCGTAACACTGCCTCCCTCTCAATTCAGATCGTTCCGATCTTATATTATTAATTCGCGTGATAAGCCTTTACCATGTCAAGATGCATCACCTTTTCTTCATTCAGATCCATAATGATTACATCGATCATTCTAGTTCAAGTCTCTCCTCAGGCCTGCGTGGTCCTTCCCAGGAATTTACGTCGCAAGAACTTGAAGAATAGCCACCTGTTCCTTGTTGTCTGCCATGCTGCAACCGTCTTCGGTCCTATATGATTGAACGTTTACGTACATGTTAGGCTGAGTTTGAACAGCAACGATGCAATTTCGTATGATGGAAAGTTTTTCATAACACATTACTGTTATTTTCCGCCTGTTATGTTCGTAGTTATCATATCGCCTCAACAGTCTCAAATAACATACTGTTAAGTGCCCAACGTGCATGTTACTGCTGTTTTTCTATTTTTTCAGAGATCCTATTTTGAATGAAGGAGTTAATTAATTTACATTTAATACAAGAATTATAGAATCAAATTAGGAGGTAGGTAGGTACTGAGGTACTAAGTATAAACCTTATCAGTATTTTATGTTAATGATAAGGTACAAAACGTTATTATTAATTCACTAATTAAGGACTGAATTGAACATTCAAAGAATAGGCATTTCAGAGATCAACTAATCCTTTTGAAACTCCTGATGAGGTTTTCTTACTAAACTCTAAGCTTTGTTCCGCTTTGTTCCAACCCAGCAAAGAACCTTAGGTACATTTCACCGTCAAGATTCTGCGCAAAACATGAAATTTGTGCGTAGAATCCGAAATTCGTATACAGAATGGTTCCGAAACCGTTCTTGGACGGCTTTTTGGCGGGTTGGAAGTTGAAACAGACCTGTAGAACCAAAAGAATTGGTTCATTTAATAATTGCAAGAATGGGGCCCCATTTTAATATTCCTCAAAGACCAAGGATTTCATTCCTTCCAGTTGAACTGAAAGTCTAAGTTCTAAATAATGAATTCTTAGTATACCTATTTGAATCTGATTTATTCCATATAGGTTCTAGTAATGCTTTATTTTTGTGTATAAATGGTATCCATACTGATCATGTTTTTTGGGATCCAACACCCAGAGGGTATTCATATGATTTTCAAATGCTAGCTCCCCATACTGCTCCAAGGTTTAAGATAATCTTTTCGCCCTAATAAATTGAATAAAATCATTGTATATAAAATGTTAAATGAGCTTCGAAAAAAATGTAACCTTATTGTTTGTTGTTGTTTCAACAAAAAGTCACTTTGAAACCAAAGTGAAGCTAGTTACAAATACTTTCTTCCATTCATAACAGTTAGCTTAACATCTTCTGTTATCAACTCCGTCAATCATACCGATATAACATCTACTGTTATTTTATATGTTATCTTTTCCGTGTTAGCGTAACATAACAGATTTGTGTTAAGTTTAACGTAAACGTTCAATCATAGGACCCCTTATCTAAGCGGACGATCATAGCACTCTTAGAATAACTCGTCGTAGAAATCTGTAGGGAGGTCAGGGATGATGATGTTGACCCTCTGGATCAGCAGCCGCGTATTCTATCACTCTTCTCGTTCCCGATTTTATTGTCTTCGCTCGCTACTCCTCCTTTCTCAGGATTGTTGGGTAACTACCCAAGCAGCGCTTTTACGTCCTAACAACGTCGTCATTGAAGTCTTGACGTTAAGACGCGACGTCAAATAGACGACTATACAACCCTCATTTTCACCAAAATGGAGAATCATTTCATGGTTTTAACGACGTCGCAGGTCGCGAGGCTTTACCAATTTTCAACTTATACAGGGTGTCCCACAATCAACGTTACATGCCATAACTTTCTTATTTTCAAAAATAAAAATTTGAAACAAAAAAAATTATTAATGGCTAATTAAGCTCTCTTCAAAAATATTAAAAAATTATCCCTTGAAAAAATCATCCCCTATTTACAACCCTTGACTTTTTTTTTTCAAATGGCACCCCTATTATTTTTTTTTATTTTTGAGAAGCTTATGAAATTACAAATTTGTATTATGTATAAAAAGTTTGTTTTTCCATGTCTCTTGGGGGAAAAAAAATGGGTGTCCCACCCTTAGTCTTATACAGGCAATTACATTTTTGTCTACAAAAATAAAAATATGACAAAAAAAAATTAATTGTGTGCAAATTAACCCCTTTTCAAGAATATTAAAAAAATCTCCCCTAACAAACTCATCCCCTAAAAACAACTCTTGCCTTTTTTTTCAAATAGAACCCCATTATTATTATTTTCATTTTTGATTTTTTTTCCAACGAAACATGGAAAAACAAACTTTTCATACATCATTGAATTTGCAATTTCATGAACTTCTCAAAAAAAGAAAAAAAAATTAGGGGTGCCATTTGA